AGCTACGATTGAAAGCGTAGGAAAAAAGATATCGTTATATATTACAACTGCAATTTATGGTAATTCATACGCTAAGTTAAGGTAAAGACAGCAAAAATTGCGTCTGGCAGTAAGTGCCGGATTTTCCAAGAAATGGCGTTTCAATAAGTTAGATAAAGACATCGCACGTGTTCGAGTAAAACAGAAGATATTGTAAGAAGTTAGAGAAAAAATTGAGAATTGCCTCTGTTTTCGATTTCGTGCAAATTTGATCGAAATTTCAGTTGATAAAACAGGACTTCAGCATCCTCTTAATGTTTATAGGATATATTCTATTTCAATTTACACACAAAATATACTCCATTAATTCATGTAACATTCTATATTTAATTTGGTGTATTAAAGTCTGACCGAATATATTTTATATATGTGTATGTAATTTAAATACACACATACACACACATACAACTAGTACGTGCGCGCGCACGTACACACACCCACACACATGCGCACGCATAAAAATATCGCATTTTATAAAAAGAAATACCGTCAACTTTACATATTTCTTCAAAAGACAAAGTGTAAGTCTATATAAACAAAAAGAGAAAAAAAGATGTCAACTATATATCGCGATATTCAGAGTTTAAAAATAATGCGGAAAAACTATAACTATATTAATTTAAAAAAAAGGTAGCTCAGTAACTTTATAACATCAGTTCTATTATTTTTTAATGTATTTAATTCAATTATTTCTTTCATTCGAGAATTTAACCAATTATAATTAGAGATTGTGTGTCAAACGACTTCAATTTTATATTATATTAACGATACTTTTAATAAAATTAATTTTTAAAATATTTTTGAGCAAATTGCAATTAAATTGAAGCAATGATCGATTAATATCGTACTCGTACTATCATTACTGCAGCGAATTTATGTATACTATGTAATATTCGATAATTGCAAAAATTGGAATGAGTAAATATTTGTTAAACTTTCAGACATTTCTGTAACATAGCATTTTTTGTCGGTAGCAAAGATTGTACTATTAATAATCTATCGCAAAATGATTTCGCATGGTTTATTTTGAGAAATGTGAGCATAATTGATATTTTTATTGCAGCTGTGTGACCATGATACCGCTGTAATGGCTGGAGAATTATCGACTTATCAGTTCCAAATATATCCAATTTCGTTAGGGTTAATGACATATTACAAAGAAAAAGCGATGTCCAATCAATCCAATGCAAGCGCTACTCTTTTCAGATATAGATGATTCTTGTTTATATGAAAGATTAATTTAATTACGCAAGAGTTATTCAGACGTTAAGGAAGATATCTTCTTGTCAAAACTGTGATAACAACAATTGATAGAAGATAATTGTCTGATAGGAACAGTATTTTGAAAAGATTGTGTGTGAATTCGGAAAATTGCCTATTTTAAAGTATGTATGCATGTAAATGTTGCAGCATTCCATGATTATAACAGGAGAAAGCCAGAATGAAAACAAATTTATTAGCCGATAATCTTTTTCCTTCAATTATATATCGAATGTATTTATCAATAAATTAATTATCGCTGTCAGCATAATCGTCAGTATCAGTATCGCCATTATCATCATGTCTCGACTGTTGCACATGAATATCCAATGAATTCATTAATGAATTTGAATCTTTAACCATATCCACTGAGTTGTCGATTAAAATATCCACGCTTGGTGATAATTTCCATGATACAATATTGTGTAACCTACAAGCAAGCAAAAGCTTAAATTATATATTAAGCATATATCTTTATTCATAAAAATGATTTCTTCAGATATATAATTATAAAAAATTTTATAATTTTTATGGAATATTAGAAATGACAACAAAACTCACGTGCTAAAAATTTTATAAATACATAAATATTAATCAATATTTAAAGTCTATAGAATAATGTATATAATAAAAATTAATAATAATAAAACTCTACCTAATCAAAATGTGAATTGCTATATGTACACTGCAAATCCAAGTGTGTAATTTTTACACACTTATATGTGTAAAATTACACATTTATGTGTGACTTAGTTTTCCGTGTAAAAATAACACACTATAGTGCGTAAACAAATAAATTTACACATTTAAATGTGTAATTTAACACGTTTCGCTGTGTATAATATGATATGTTGTATTAAATATGCAAACGTGTATTTCCAAATAATTCAAATGTGTAAAAAGTACACGTATAAAATAACTTTACACATTTAGCTCTTTTTACACACGAGTTTCACGTGTAATTATGAGAAAATGTCTATTTGATTAAAAAGAAAATTCTTAGCGGTTTTTAATAAAAAGTTAGGCAAAAATACGGATTTTGCCCTGGAACTTATATCTTATTTATAATATATTCTCTGTAATTATAAAACACCAAATATTTTAAAATAATAATTACATGTATTTAAATTAACAATATAATAAGTTTATTACTGTATATATACATTTTTACATTTATTTTATTATCATAATAAGTATAAGTATGAATACATTTAATTTTACATTTATTTTAGAATTGGGAGATAATTACATTTTAGAAAAAAAAATTTGAATAATAATCGCATTAAATTGCAAAATATTTTATGAGATACATGAAGAATGAACTGAGATATTGAGTCAAATGATTGAAGTATATGTATATTACACAATTTATTAGTTTATATCCGGATTCCATTATACCAAAAATATTTATGTTTAACGAAGAAATTTTAATAGTTATTTCAACATTACAAACTGAATATTTTATCCATAAAATTCAATACGTTCATGATTTATTAACGGTATGTATTTTTTATCTTTTATTAGAAAAGATGAAAGTGGATAAAGAAATATTAAATCTTTAACACTTTTCACAAAATTTTTTATATTAGGAATTTGTGTGACTTGATATGAATTTAGTGTTAATTCAAAATATTCAGTTTGTAATGTTGAGATAACTAATAGAATTTCTTTGTTAAAAATAAATATTTCAGCCACTTCTCCAAAAACTGATAAATGGTCTTCATTGCATTCAAGTAAAATTATACTTTAGCAATAATATGTAGTGCCATGCACTGTTACTTTTGGTGATCGCATTATTTGGCAGGTCAGCCATTCCGATTTATTAATAATTCCATGAAATATATTTGCATAAGGCAAATTACATAGAAGGACAGTTGTTCCAAGTGTTACATTATTTCCTCTGTAAAGAAATTTTTTTGAATCAGTACCATCAAGATTTGAAGCTAATCTGGAACACAAGCGTGCCTGATGTCTATATGACATTGTAAGAGCCATATTTTTGAAATTATGCACAATCGGCACAAGTGATTTAAAATATGCATGACATGCTTCAAATTGAAAACACCATTGTTGTCTCGGTGATCCAAACAGTTTGATGTATCTCGGAACATGAATTAAAAAGTGAAATTTTAGTACAATGGAATCCGGATATAAACTAATAAATTGTCTATAAATGTATACTTCAATCATTTGACTCAATAACTCAATTGATTCTTCATGGATCTCATAAGCAAGACAAACATTCATGATTTGCAATAGCAAAATATAACAATTTATGTGATCCATAAAATGTGGATTTCCACATTGTATCCAATCTGCAATTAACAAAGGCAACATGTGTGCTAGAGTGAACATTTGTGCTGCACTTTGTCGTAAAAGTCCATTTACAAGATGATCACGATGAATTAGAGCAGATTCATCTTTCGTAAAGTGACCATAATCAAAATAAGTAATACGTCTGTTGAATTGTTCAATAGTAAACAATTGCAGTTCAAAAATGCAATATTTTAGTAAACAACGAATGGTAATTTCTACAGGACCTTCGATGAGAATGTGCGTACAATCTTGAGGCAGACATAGTGTCACATCTACATTAGAACTTTGTAATAGAGGACTCTTATTCATCACTCCATATGTTCTTTGCCAAAAATTTTTTGCTTCCTTTGTTAACATAGGAGTTACAACGTTGATATGATTGTTATGAATTAACTTATTACAATATATAAAATAATCATCACGAAAATAATTTTTATATTCTTCAGATGTCGTCAAACAGGAACGACAAAACCGATAAGCTGAAACGGATTCTTTGAAACCACCTTTTAGAACCGCCTTTTAGAACCGTCGCAGTTCTTGTAGCGTAAATGTTCCTTTATTATAAATTACAGTAGACGTTTCAACCCTTGGATTGGGTCCTCATCAGTACATGAATCTTAACAAGTATTGTTTTTGCTACAAACGCCGCAACATAACTTCAATATTCTATTTACTCTTTCATTCTTGTTGAAATTTATTAGAAAACTGATGTGTCAATTTGATTTGATAAAGTTAATGACAGTAAAAGAAGAAAAGAGCAAACGAGATAAGATGTGAACAGTCTCCATGTTAACGAATAAATTTGAAGCGGAGCAATACTTGTTAAGATATATCTTAATCAAATAATTAAATAAATGTCTTTTATAAGAGCCGACGCAGTTCTTGTATAGCGTAAATATGTCTTTATTGTAAAATGCAGTAGACGTTTCAACCCTTGGATTGGGTCCTTATTAGGACACGTATACGTTGAAACGTCTACTGCATTTAACAATAAAGAAATATTTACGCTACAAGAACTGCGTCGGCTCTTATAAAAGACATTTATTTAATTATTTAATTAAAAAATTACACATTTTAAATGCGTAATTTTAGTGTGTAAGCGTGTAAAAAATATGCATTTAACTGTGTAAAATTATACAGATAAAATATGTAAAAAAAATAACACGCGTATAAATGCGTAAAAAGTGACTACAAGATTTTACACACATAAGTGTGTAAAAATTACATACTTGGATTTGCAGTGTATATATATCAAAAATATTAAAAATATTAAAGTTATAATAAAATGTAGAATTATAAGATTCTGGCAAAAAAATAAAATAAAATTTACAAAATGTTTTGCTAGATAAATAATGAGACAAATATAAAAACACTTAAACATTAATTTAGTATGTTAATTTGTATAAATACGTGCACATTTTTTCATCATGCTATTTTATACTTTACTTACTGAGCTGTAGATGATGGTTACATTTCATCATCACACAGCCTGCAAGAAATGTATCATTATAATTATTATAAAATCATGATGGAAAAGAAGAGTATATTGTTAATCGGAGTGCAAAACATAAAATTTCTATTTACAACGTATCAGTACGCGCGAATCAATACTGGAATCATATAATATATAATATTTGAAACAACATAACATTGTTATAATGTAAGACATAACATCAAATAATCGGATATTATATTGGGTCATCCGGAAAGTTCTGCGGTTTTTACGGAGACATGTTCAAATGATTAAGTGGTGTGCGATATTTTTGCAATTTTTAATTTCTCTGCCAGTTCTTGTATAATATAACGAAGATTTTCGGCGATAGTTTACTCCAGTAAATCATTATCTCATGATCCCTAGTGTAGGGACGCGTCATCTTTGAGAGTGAAATCATCTTGTTGAAATTTCACAAATTAACTTTCGAATTATGTCATCAGAAATAGAAACCTTGTCTGTAAACTTTACAAATTTTACGCACTGTCTCGCATGCGTTCTTGCCCTATCAGAAGTAGAAAAGCATATTTTCGCAAAAATGTTATTTCTGATTATCCATCTTTAGAGCACTATAAAATCGAATATATCGACAATAAACATATGTCATTATGGGTGAATATATTGATTAAACAAAAGACTATTTTTTCTTATCAACCTGAA